AAAATTATAGCTCTGGCCGCATCTAGTTTCTGCTAATGAAGTGTTGGAATATTTGGGCACGTCAAACAACACTTTCACCATAATTTTCAAATGTATGTTGATCCTGCTGCGAAAATGTCATTTTAAGGAAGCAAACTTGTTTTTAATCGTTGCAATTATTGCCATTCGCTTCTTGAATGATTTCAAGGTGGCGATCGGAAAAAAAGGCGACCCCCAAACACTGGGTCGAGGTTGTTGGAAAGACAAGAAAATGAGATGCTATTTTCTATAATTGGACCTGACAATATCTCACTGTCCGCAGCAGTAGTGGAACTGCTGTTTGTCGAAAGCAGACAATGGAAACTCACATTTCGCGGGGTCATCTCTTTAGTAAAGGTACAATTGTATTCATCTTTTCATTTTCCGGTCTTTATGCTTCGTTTTAGGACTACCAGAATCGCGCTTACTTTCTGCGACTCTACGACATTCTAAGTGGGCGGAAGCTGTGGGATTTTAGATTGTATGTTTGTCCTTTTCTTTTTTCAAATATTGAAAGCGCGCAAGTATAAAGTCCATTGTAAAAGAGTTGGATGCTATTTCCTTTGAGAAAAGTCTTGTTAATTTCCTCTCTGTTCATTCTTTTTCCAATAAAAGGTAGCAAAAGCAAAGTTCTTCTTCCTATACTATGTCCTACATATTCCTCATTCCCCCTCCCCCTCCCCTCCCCTCCCCCATATTCGCATTGCTCCCTCTTAGGTACTTTTCTGAGGGATGTAGAAACAATCTTGAGGATTTGGAACCGTATAAAAGTGAACCTACATCGAAAGGGATAGGTCTATTGATTCAAAGGTTTTAAAATCAAGGACTATGTAAAGTAATACCTGCAAGAATTTTGTTCGGTCTGGCAATCGTATATGATTATGTATAAGTCTTATGAGCGCATATTATTTTTCTTTCTGTGTCTTTTTGGATGGTTCTGTTTCTTTTGCCTGTTTTAATACATTAGTTCGATAATTTCCTTTTTTCTTTTATAACATCCTCAAACGGAAATTTTGCCGACAATACTCGATAATCATACATTTTTCTGTTTTTCGGTATCCTATTGTGCGTATTATCATGTGCGCTCTGAATTTGCAAATTAATGCGCGCCGAATTTCCATTGGGCTGAGTATTACTCTTTTCATCGCCACTGTTTTCCGCGAGCAGACATAATGATTCATACTCGTTTGTTATGTTCTCTTCGCTTTTCCAGGTAGCAGCTTTTAGCATCGCGAAGTGTAAATGTTAGAGTATTTGTTTTTTAGTGCTCAAAGCAGTACAACATGTAGAGAGTATGGTTGAGCTCCTTCTTTAAAAGTAGTGCATACGGGGTTTTTCATATCATGAAAGAACTAATTTGCTAGTATCATTATTTGTACTCCTTGAATTACTTGGCGATAACAGTGCTAAAACACTTATAATTAGTATCTTTGATCGTGAAGTTTAGTTCTGTTATATAGCGTCACCTCCCACTAATCAAACTCAGTGGCAGCAGTGCTTTCGTACTCCTATATAGTTGCTGTTACTAAGCATAAAAAATTTCTCAACATTGCAACATAACTTACTGATAAATAGCAAAAATATATTGCTACCATCGCTTATCTTCTAGCATAATCATCGAAT